GCTAGATTCAGTGTCATATATAGTAGATATCATGTAGAAAGAATAGAAGTATTTGTATCTTGAAGTAGGTTCTAGTAATATAAATTACAGAATTATAGGAGCTCGGTTTTGGAGGTTCATTCCAACTCTAAGCTTCTATAATTCTGTGATTTAGATTACCAGTATTAGGGCATCCCAAAGGCATCCCCTGGATAACTGCCATCATGGGTGGGATGTGTAATTACACATGCTTCTCTCCCACTCACCTCTGCCATTTCCTTTTGGCCATCTCCGATGGTGGATTCTCAGTAATCACTCTCTGACCCCTACAGAACTTGATATTCTTGACCAACCCGTATTTCTAGTAACATCAACCAATCAACAAGCAGTTTTTGAGTATATCTGCCATGTACCAGCTATTGAACTAGTTGTTAAAGCTACAAAGACAAAACTTAGCCATGTGTAAAAAGGAAACAATTATTCATGGTTGTGACTCAGAAACTCCTGTTAAATAAAACCACAAATTGGCATGAACTCTTTTCCATCACTATTTGTGAGGGAACTCTGCCTTTGGAGTTTATCTGAATTCTGAATAATATATTCTTTACATGGCTTCTACTAAAGTTGGGGGGGGATATACTACCCAAAGGACATGGGAAGAACCAAACTCTCTTTTTGTATGAAATCATGAGAAATACAAATTAATCAATTTCAAAATGAAATAAGTTAATGTTGAAAAGAAAAAAATTCTGGAGGTCAGAGCCATGACCTTTCAAACTTCCATTTAAGGAGGGGCCCAGGACAATCAGTTCATTTCCCACCAACTGTACTGCTTTAGAATTTCTTTGGGCTTCTCCATAAGGCTCTCTTGACCCATATTTTCTTACCCCACCCCACCCTTTCAGCTTCCTTTTGTGCACTGTTTTACCCCAATAGATTGTATGCCACTTGAGGGTAGGGAATGTCTTTCTTTTTATTTGTATTTGCATACCTGGGACTTAGAACAGTGCCTGTCATTTAGTAGGTGCTAATAATTGTTTTTTGATTAACTGACTCATAAATATGGGGAGTGCACAGCATTTTATTTACAAAAACCCAAATTATATGTAATTCAGTAATAGTATAAAAATAACATCTTTTATTTTGTTATAAGCAATTCTAAAAGAATTTCATTTTAATTACTCATTCACTTTTAACTGTTATTACTTAAAGTTATATTTCACACAGTTTCTTTATAGTTTTAACATATTTTGCTAGGTACAAATATTAAATTCCTCTCTCCACTTTAAAGGTAAGTATTTGGGATTCTAACCTGTCAAGGACAGAGCCTCCAAGCTAAGATAATTACTAGGCTACCACCTCTGTCTTTAGAGGAAGACCACCATTATTGAAGCATAAAGAGAACGAGTTTCAATGCAAAATCTGTAGCATCATGAGGACTTCTATTTACACTCATGTTATTTTTTAAGAGCTGAGCTAATTGCTTGGGACTTCTTGCCACTTCCGTTTGTGCCCATGACTACCTACTAGTGATATGGAATTAGATTTCTCTGGCCTTTTAAGAAGAGCCCTAACTAGGAATTCTGGACCCAGAGGAAAGTTCTATTGGTTTATGGTATGACCACAATTGCTAGCATATGCAGCATTCCCTAGAACCTCTTACTTCTCTATTTTTGAAAAAAAAAATTATATTTTCTCCAATTACATATAATAGCAATCTTTAACATTTGTTTTTTTTTTTTACTTCCAAATTCTTTCTCTCCCTACCTCCCTTCTCCCTCTTTGAGAAGGCAAGGAATTTGATATAGATTATACATGTGAGGTTATGTAAAACATATTTCCATATTAGCCATGTTGTAAAATAAAACACAGACCAAAAAAACACAACAAAACAAAAATAAAGGAAGCAAAAAAAAGTACACTTTGATCTGCATTCAGACTCTGTTAGCTCTTTCTCTGGATGTGGAAAGCAACTTCTTTATTACAAAAAAAAAACAAATTTATTTTCTCTCCCTTCTACCTCAATACTCCATTGAAGAGAAAAGAAAAAAAATTATTATAACAAATATGCATTGTCAAGCAAAATAAATTCCCTTGTTGGCTGTATACAGAAATAGATCTGTCTCCTTCTGTATCCTAAATCTCTTACCTCTCTGTTAAGAGATAGATGAAATATTTTGTCACTGATCTTTTGGAATCATGGATAGTCATTGTATTGGTTATAATTTTAGAGCTTTCAAAGTTGTTTTTCTTTATAATGTTGTTCTTACCTAACTTGTTCTCTTGGTTATGCTCATTTCACTCTTTATCGGTTTATAAAAAGTCTTCAAAAATGTTTATTTTTATAATATTAATGTTATAGTATAATTTTTTCTTCTAGTCCTGCTTATTTCATTCTGCATCAGTTTGCCTGTCATTCCATGTCTCTTTGAGATCATCTATTCCTTCAATTCTTGTAGAAGAATAGTATTCCATCACTTTCAAATACCAGAATTTATTCTGCCATTCTCCAACTGATGGATATCCTCTTGGTTTCCAGATTTTTGCCACCACGAAGAGATGATACAATTTTTTTTTTATTTATAAGGCTTGTTCTTATTTCTTTGATTTCCTCTGGGTATAGGCCTAACAGTGGTGTAGCTGGGTCAAAGGGCACATAATTGCATACTATGTGGTATGCCCATCTATGTCTTAAAATGTTTTCCCAAGTGAGTAAATTCAAATGTTCCTTAGCCTCCTTGTTTAGTTGAGGAAGAGATGATAAGAAGACAAATAAGGATTCTGAGTGATTTTCTTCTTTAGGATCTAGGACTGAATCCATTCCCTTTGTGAGAGGAAGGAGTGTGACTGCCATGCTTTAGGTTCCGTGAACTTCTGCACAGCTAACAGGTCCAGGCTTAATAGTCATTTCTTTTGGGATAGTGGATATGGCAGGGAACCTCCACTCAGGAAGACTTGGATTCAAATCCTAGCTAAGATACTTATTAACTGTGTGACATTAGTAAGTCCCTTGATTGCTCTGTAATTGTATCACACCATATCTGCCAAATGATGGGGTTGGACTTGATGACCTCTAAGGTCACTTCCAGCTCTAAATCTATAGTCCTATCTTCAATCTATGATTACACTGTTTGGAATGCGGTATGAAAAGCTTTACTCTGCAGACTCCTGAAGATAAGAATCGGCAATCCTCTCCCTTTCTCCTTTGCTCACTATGCCTGCCTCTCCACCAAAGTAATGAGTTAAGTCACCTTCCTTTGTAAGCCACTGCTGGGTTTATCCTATTTAGGGAGAGCTCTGCTTGCAAACTGCTGTGGATATTCTTAATGGCATGCTTAGGGGGTATTTTTATGTATGTGTGTGTGTGTGAGAGAGAGAGAGAGAGAGAGAGAGAGAGCTCCAGTGCATATGTTAGGCATGGTATCACAAAGGACAAAGCAGGAAAACAGGTTTGCACCTAAAAAGACCTTACAGTGGAAAAATCCCATGGTCTTCTGCTGCTTGGTAAAAATCACCCACATCTTAATAGCCTTGAGAAATATCACTGAAAGAAATGGCTACAGGAAGCGTAAAAGTATTAATCTCTCAACTGTGCTGTAGTATCTTCACAAGCCTATATGCTGACTTTCAGAGGACACTTTTCTTTAAAAAAAAAAAAAGGAAAAAAAGAGAGGCAGAACAGAGAGACAGAGACAGAAAGAGGGGGAGAGAGAGAGAGAGAGGAAAGGAGAGGGAAGAGAGACAGAGACAGAGGGAGAGGGAGAGAAGAAAGTAGAGGAAAGAGAGAAAAAAAGAAGAGAGAGAGGACGGACAGACAGACAGAGAGAGAGAGAGACAGAGAGACACATACACAGAGACATACACAGGGAGAGAGAAACAGAGAGAGGAAGAGAGAAAATAGGAGGGAAGGAGGAAGGGAAAGAGGAGAGAACACAATGACCTTTCTGCAAGTCAGTGATAATCCAGGCTTGACTTCTGTATTACGTGCAAATGCTTTTACATAGGGAGCATCTAAAACAAGCTGCCCTTGCTGCTGTTTCAAAACAGAGGAGAAAGAAGGAATGCTTAAGGAAGGAAATGGTAGCTTTTATTCCTTTTATAGCGATAAGCACCTCACTAAGAATTCTAACGAAAAAAGATGGATCATTAGCTAAAAGATTCTTTCTTAGACCACAGACCTCACAGGAAATGCCAACCATTTGATGAATCTCTAACATCTGTTCCTCCCCCTCTTTGGGGGATGGGGAAAGGAGAAAAATATTACTAGCACCCAGGAAAACCAATAGCAAACCTTCCTGCCACTTTCTCCTTCATTACCTGTACAATCTTTGATGCATAATATTCTGGTTTAGATGCAAAGTAAAAGAGTGGTGAGAGAAGGGTTAATTTCATAAGGCTGATTTGCCTCAGTCCTTTGACCTGTTCCATAATAGGTCAAAACAAGTTGATGGAATGAACAGAAGGCCTCTGGATTTAAAAATGGAAAAGTGAAATGTAATGGACTAGATTTGGATAAGGCTGGTTATTTGTTAACCAACAATTTAGTCATTAACTGTTTTGAGGCACTAAGAAGGACAAGTAGAAAGCTATTCTTTGCTTGGGAACGTTGAGGACAGTATAATTCTAAAGCCCAGAGCAGTCTTTATTCTGCCTGTCTGCCTGTTATGTGCTTTCCCAAATACTTGAGCCTGGTGGATGGATCAAGTATAAGAAAGAAAGAAAGAAAGAAAGAAAGAAAGAAAGAAAGAAAGAAAG